TCCCCCATTCCCCTCCCATTTCCCCCCCTGGCCGCCATGTTGGGGCGCTGCCCTGTCACCTTCTCGTCCCACTGGAAGTCGGGTGCGATGGTGAGCTCCACCTTGAGCGTGGAGCGCGTGATGGGCTGCAGGTGCACGGACAGCTCCAGCTTGGGGAACAGGTGCACGTACTTGTGGATGGTCTTGCCCATCTTGGGCATGCGGATGAGCTCCCCTGAGGGCGAGCAAAGGAACGGCACTGCTCAGGGAATGTTCCAAATGGAGAGGGCTGGGGGGGGGATCCCCACAGACACAGAGATCCCTGCAGGAATTCTCACACTTCTGAGGGGAATTCACCCATTTCTGAGGAAAGTCTCCCATTTCTGAGGGAAATTCACCCATTTCTGAGGAAATTCTCCCATTTCTGAGTGAAATTCCTACATTTCTGAGGAAATTCTCCCATTTCTGAGTGAGATTCCCACACTTCTGAGGGGAATTCCCACATTTCTGAGGAAACTCTCCCATTCCTGAGTGAAATTCCCCCATTTCTGAGGTAAATTCCCCCATTTCTGAGGGGAATTCCCACATTTCTGAGTGAAATTCTCCCATTTCTGAGTGAAATTCTCCCATTTCTGAGGAAATTCTCCCATTTCTGAGAGAAATTCTCCCATTTCTGAGGAAATTCTCCCATTTCTGAGAGAAATTCTCCCATTTCTGAGTGAAATTCCTACATTTCTGAGGAAATTCTCCCATTTCTGAGGGAAATTCCCACAGTTCTGAAAAAAAATCCAGGAGAAATTTCCTCATTTCTGAGGGAAAAACCTGCAGAAATCTCCCCATTTCTGAAATTCTCCCATTTCTGAGGGGATATCCTGGAGGAATTCCCAATTTCTGAGGGAAAATCTGGGAGAAATTCCCCAATTTCTGAGATAAATTCCTGCAGAAATTCCCCTTTTTCTCCAGAGAAAATCGTGGAGCAATTCTCCTCAATTCAGAGTGAAATTCCCCAATGTCTGAGTGAAAATCTGGCAGAAATTCCTCCATTTCTTAAGGAAAATCTGGGAGAAATGTCCCAGTTTCTGAGGGAAAATCCTGCAGAAACTTCCCCATTTCTGAGGAGATATCTTGGAGAAATTCCCCCGTTTCTGAGGGAAATTCCAAATTTCTGAGGAGGAATCTGGGAGAAATTCCCCATTGTATCCAGAGAAAATCCTGGAGAAATTCCTCAATTTCTGAGGCAAAATCCAGCAGAAATTCCTGCATTTCTGAAGGAAAATAAGGGAGAAATTCCCCCATTTCTGAGGGAATATCCTAGAGAAATTTGGGGGATTCTAGCCTGGATTTGGAGGATTTTAGCCCTGATTTGGGGGATTTTAGCCTGGATTTGGGGGACTTTAACCCTGATTCGAGGGATTTTAACCCAGATTCAGGGAATTTTCCCATGCCACAATCCCGAATCCCTCCCCATGCCAGATTTGGGGGATTTTAACCCGGATTCAGGGGATTTTAACCTGGATTTGGGGGGGTTTTCCTGTACCACAATCCCGAGTCACTCCCCATCCTGGATGTGGGGGGTTTTAACTCAGATTCAGGGGATTTTAGCCCAGATTTGGGGGATTTTCCCATGCCATGATCCTGAGGCCCTCCCCATCCCAGTTTTGGGAGATTTAAGCCTGGATTTGGGAGATTTTAACCCAGATTTGGGGAATTTTCCCATGCCACAATCCCGAATCACTCCCCATCTCAGAATTGGGGGATTTCAGCGTGGATTTGGGGGATTTTAGCCCGGATTTGGGAGATTTTAACCCGGATTTGGGGGATTTTAGCCTGGATTTGGGAGATTTTAGCCCGGATTTGGGGGATTTTAGCCTGGATTTGGGAGATTTTAACCCAGATTTGGGGGATTTTAGCCCAGATTTGGGGGATTTTCCCGTGCCACAACCCCGAGTGCCTCCCCAGCCCAGCTCTGGGGGATTCCTCCCCGTTTCAGCACCGATCTCGTTGTGGTTGAGGTCGTAGAGGCGCTCGAAGGGGAAATTCTTCTTCTCGATCTTCTTCACCACCTCCTCGGGCAGCTTCTTGAACTGGCGCAGGGGACACATGGACTGCCACCTGTGGGGACAGTGCAGGGGCTCAGGGGACACGGGCATTTGGGCATTTGGGGATTTGTGGGCTCAGGGGACACGGGCATTTGAGGATTTGTGGGCTCAGGGGATTTGGGCATTTGGGGATTTGTGGGCTCAGGGGCTCAGGGGATTTGGGCATTTGGGGATTTGTGGGCTCAGGGGATTTGGGCATTTGGGCATTTGTGGGCTCAGGGGACACGGGGATTTGGGGATTTGTGGGCTCAGGGGATTTGGGCATTTGGGCATTTGTGGGCTCAGGGGATTTGGGGATTTGTGGGCTCAGGGGATTTAGGCATTTGGGGATTTGTGGGCTCAGGGGATTTGGGGATCTGTGGGCTCAGGGGATTTGGGGATCTGTGGGCTCAGCACTCACATGCGCTTGTCGATCATCTTGCAGAGGTTGAGGGTCTTGTCGGTGAGCTGGGCCCAGCCGCGGTTCAGGACGATCTCAAAGATGGCTCTCATCAGCCTCCCGGCCGACTGCAGCACAGGGACACGGGCTGGGGCCACGTCCCAGCCATTCCCAAATCCCCAACCCCCCTCCCCGGGCCAGCCTGCAGGGCTTTGGTGTGGGAAGGACCCAAAATCCCAACCGGTGCCAGCCCAGCTGCTGCCACCCCACTCGGCCTTGGGCATTCCCAGGGATCCCAGCTGCTCTGGGAATTCCATCCCAGTCCCTCACAGAGAGGAATTCCTTCCCAAAATCCCACCTGAATCTCCACATGGAATCCCAGAGTAGTTTGGGGTGGGAATGACCAGAAATCCCAACCAGCTCCACCCCACAGTGACCACTGGAGCCTGGCCAGCCTGGCCTTGGACACTTCCAGGGACCCCAGCTGCTCTGGGAATTCCATCCCAGTCCCTCACAGAGGGGAATTCCTTCCTTAAATCCCACCTAAATCTTCACATGGAATCCTGGATGGATTTGGGGTGGGAGAGGTTTAAAATCCCATCCCATTCCCACCTTTCCATAGGTCCAGGTGACTCCGACCTGGCCTTGGACATTTCCAGGGCTGGAACAGCCACAGATTCTCTGGCAATTCCATCCCAGCCCCTCACACCCTCACAGGGAAGGATTCCTTCCCAAAATCCCATCTAAATCTCCACATGGAATCCTGGAATGGTTTGGGGTGGCAGGGACCCCAACATTCCCCCAGTCCCACCATGGGTCCCACACTTTCCACTGTCCCAGGTGGTTAAACCTGGCCTTGGGCACTCCCAGGGATCCCAGCTCCTCTGGGAATTCCATCCCAGCTCCTCCCCACCCCTAAAGGAGGAATTCCTTCCCAAAATCCCATCTCAACCTGCACGTGGAATCCCAGAATGATTTGGGTTGGGAGACACCTTCAATCCCATCCCATTCCCACTCTGTACACCTTGCACAATCCCAGGGGGCTCCAGCCTGGCCTTGGGCACTCCCAGGGATCCCAGCTCCTCTGGGAATTCCATCCCAGCCCCTTCCCAAATTCCTTCCCAAAATCCCATCCAAATCCCCACTTTCCCCCACGAAGCCATTTCCTCTTATCCTGTCATTCCAAACATTTCCTGTCTTTCCTTTTCAGGCACAAAATGATAATTTAGGATTTTCCACCCCAAACACCTCAGAGAGGAGCAGCTGTTGATTCTCAAATTCCCAGATTTCCAGGCCCAGCTGCTGTTTTCCCACATGGAATTACTGGGACACAAACTTGGAGCTCCCATTTCTACCCGGAGCTTCCTGACATTCCCAGTTTTGATTTCCAGGGGGGAATTTTTGCCCAAAACCTCGATTTCTGAGGTGGGAATGGCTGTGTCCCAGCCAGAATGGAGCAGCTGTTGATTCCCAAATTCCCAGGCCCTGCTGCCACCTTCCCACATGGAATTACTGGGAAACAAACTGGGAGCTCCCTTGAGGACCCCATTCCCACCCAGCGCTTCCTGACACTCCCAGTTGTGATTCCCAGGGGGAATTTTTGCCCAAAAACTCAATTTCTGAGGTGGGAACAGCCATGTCCTGGCCAGAATGGAGCAGCTGATTCCCAACTTTTCAAATCCAGCCTTTGTGGGCCAATCCCACTGGGAATTCCAAGGGAATTCCAGCTCACCTGGGTGACGTAGACCATGTCAGCCATGAGGGCGAATCCCTCCAGCTTCAGCTGGGAGATGAAGGCCTGGAGCAGGACATTGATCTGGGAATGACAATGGAAAAGCTCTCAGGGAATATCCCAGAAAAACTGCTTTGCCTGGTGCTTAATTCCCAAGGAAAGCTGATTTTCCTGGTTCCCAGTTTCCCAGAAAAGCTGCTTTTCCTGGTTCCAAATTAACCAGGAAATCTGCTTTTCCTTGCCCCAAATTTCTGAGAAAAGCTGCTTTTCTTCATTCCAAATTCCCAGAAAAGCTCTTTTTCCTTGATCCTCATTACCCAGGAAAGCTGCTTTTCCTGGTTCCTATTTCCCGAGGAAATCTCATTTTCCTGGTGTCCAGTTTCCCAGAAAAGCTGCTTTTCCTGTACATAATTCCCAAGGAAATCTGCTTTTCCTTGCCCCAAATTTCTGAGAAAAGCTGCTTTCCTTCATTCCAAATTCCCCAGAAAAGCTGCTTTTCCTTCCCTTTAATTTCCCAGGAAAGCTGTTTTCCCTGGTTCCCATTTTCCTGGAAAAATTGCTTTTCCTGGAGCCCAATTTCCAAAAAAAAGTTGCTTTTCTGGTTCCAAATATCCCAGGAAATCTGCTTTTCCTGGCTCCCAACTCCCTTCTCCCACCCCTCTTTTCCAGCCTCTCACCAATCCCACAGATCTCCCAGATCCCTGTGAGCCTCCCAGCCCCACCCAGGACACCCCAGAGAGGGAAGGGAGCAGAATTCCCAGCAGGAATTCCCAGCAGGAATTCCCAGCAGGGCTCACCTTGGCACTGGGCTCCTCGATGCTCTCCTTCACTGGGATGGGGACTCGTTCCAGAAGCTTCTGCAGCTCCAGCTTCTCCTCCTGGGGGGAAAACAGGGATGGAGGGTGGGATGATCCCTCTGGAATGGCTCTGCAGCACCCACAAATTCCAGCTTTTCCTGATTTTTCCCAAAAATCTCTCTCCAAGAATTTGTCCAAACACTTTCCCTGCCTGAACTGGGAGATTCTCGGGGAGTTGGGAAAGGGTCTGGGATCTCTCCAAGCAGAAATTCCCTCCAGGAGAGCTGAATCCATGACTGGGGTGGAGGGAATTCCAGCTCCTGAAGGAACTAAACCCAACTGCTCTGGATATCCGTGAGGAAAGGCAGCTTTGGATGCACACCCTGAAATCTTATGGATGCACAGCCTGAACTTACAGATGTGCATCCTGAAATTATGGATCCCCATCCTGAGATTTTATTGGGTATTGGTGCTGGTTGTTGGTTGGTGTTGGGTGTTGGTTTGGGGCTGTTGGTCACTGGGTGTTGGCTGTTGCTGGGTGCAGCTGTTGGGTGTTGGCTGTTGGAGCTGGGTGTTGATGAGTGTTGATTGATGGCTGTTGGGTGTTGGGTGTGGCTGTTGGAGTTGGGTGTTGGAGGGTTGATGTTGGATGTTGAATCTCGGTTGTTGGCTGTGCTGGGTGCTGGATGTTGGGTGCTGAGTGTTAGATGTTGAGTGTTGGGTGTTGGTTGGTGGCTGTTGGGTATGGGGTGTTGAGTGTTGTTGGGTATTGAGTGTTGTCTGTTGGGTTATG